CCCTGTTTCTCCAGCGCAGATAGCGCCCGGCCGCCTCCAGGTGATCCCTCCGCTGGTTCCCTCGCGCCACGCCTCCCGCCAGGATTAGCACAGCCGAGCGTGTCTATCTCGCCAGCCAGCCTGCAGGCCGTGGGGAGGCCGCGGAGGGCGTCCGCAGCTGTGGGCACGGCGGGAGGCCTGGCCGGGGCCACACGGCGGGCACTCAGGGCCCCGGAGGAGGGTGGTGGGCCGCACACACTGATTCCGATGGGCCCGGGCCCCGCACGGCTCAGAGCCGGGGTCAGGGCACGGGGCTGGCCGGGGCCTCAGGCCAGCTGCGGTGGCCAGGGGTGCAGGGGGCACCGGAGCCCTCAGAGGGCAGCAGCTGGGGCACCGGCGATGAGGGCAGGTGCGTGCCCACAGGTGGGGCTGGCTGACTCTCCCCTTTATTCCTCTTTTCCCCAGAGCTGGCCTGACAGCTGCTTATGGGAGCATTTTTACCCCAAACCACACAGAGCTGCCTCAAACAGCCATCACCAGGCCCTAGAGGCTCAGCAAGGCGGGAGGGGCCCCTTGTACAGATGAGAAAACTGAGGCCTGGGCTGGGTGGGCTGGGAGGCGAAGGCCAGAGCGCAGGGCTCAGTGGGCCAGTCTTGCTGGGGTGACACCGGGCCCGGATCTCCTAGGTTGGCCAGCTCAGCGTCTGAGAGCTGAGGGACCTGTCCCCCCACCTTAGGGACAAGCCCTCGGGTGCAGGACACACAGTAAGGAGCCGCGGAAGCGCTGCCTCCTGCAGACCAGGCGGGCCCACGCCCACAGCTTACAGAGCTGGGCTCCGGAGCCGGGGTCAGGGCGAGGCGGCACAGCACTCAGCCATCGGCGTGTCCTGTACGCTGGGTGTAAAAACACAAACACGGGATGCGGCGTGGTTCCGTGGCAGAGCGTGAACCCGTGAGCCAGAGGTCACGGTTCGATTCCCGGTCGGGGTGCACGCCCGGGTTGTGGGCTCCATCCAGTGGGGGGCGGTGGGGGCAGCCGATCCGTGATGCTCTCTCATCACGGATGTTTCTCTCTCCCTCTCCCTTCCTCTCCGACATCAATAAATAATATTTACAAACAACCACCGAACAGGACAGGGCTGGCACCTGCTCTTCGGGCTGCTGCAGAGATGAAGTCCCGTGTGCGTGGTGCCAGGCGGGCGAGGAGCCGGAGGCTCACAGGGTGCGGGCTGCCCTCCCTCCTCCGCACAGGCCTGGCGTGGCCGTGGGCCCGCGGGGCCGGCTGAGCCGGGGCCGCCCTCGGCTGGCTCCCAGGCCGCACGCCCGGAGGCCGGGCCGCCTGCCCCGCACCTCCCCGAGCTGGAGCTTGGGAAGCAATCGGTCCCATCGCCGAGTTAATGCACGCACTTCCCGGATCGCTGTGCTGACACGGGCTCTGACACACGGTGCCCGGCGGTAATATATCGCAACAACAGATAATGCCTGAGTGACAGCTCACCCAGGGCCGCGCCGAGCGGGCCGCACCCGCTGGCTCCCTGTGGGGCTCGGTGTGGGCCTGGGGCTCGGTGTGGGCCTGGGGCTCGGTGTGGGGCTCGGTGTGGGCCTGGGGCTCGGTGTGGGCCTGGGGCTCGGTGTGGGCCTGGGGCTCGGTGTGGGTCTGGGGCTCGGTGTGGGCCTGGGGCTCGGTGTGGGGTCTGGGGCTCGGTGTGGGCCTGGGGCTCAGTGTGGAGTCTGGGGCTCGGTCTGGGGCTCGGTGTGGGCCTGGGAATCGGTGTGGGCCTGGGGCTCGGTGTGGGTCTGGGGCTCCGTATGGGGCCTGGGGCTCGGTGTGGGTCTGGGGCTCGGTGTGGGTCTGGGGCTCGGTGTGGGCCTGGGGCTCGGTGTGGGTCTGGGGCTCGGTGTGGGTCTGGGGCTCCGTATGGGGCCTGGGGCTCGGTGTGGGTCTGGGGCTCGGTGTGGGTCTGGGGCTCGGTGTGGGCTTGGGGCTCAGTGTGGGGTCTGGGGCTCGGTGTGGGTCTGGGGCTCGGTGTGGGCTTGGGGCTCAGTGTGGGGTCTGGGGCTCGGTCTGGGGCTCGGTGTGGGCCTGGGGCTCGGTGTGGGCCTGGGGCTCGGTGTGGGGCTCGGTGTGGGCCTGGGGCTCAGGTGTGGGGTCTGGGCTCCGGTGTGGGTCTGGGGCTGGCGGGGCTGGTCATGGGGGGAGTGGCTCTGAGTATGAGGGTGATTTCGGGGTCCTCCAGCCTTACGGGGGGGGGGGAGGAGAGGGGCAGAGGTGGGTCAGGTGTGGGGAGGAGGGGGAGGAACTGCCTTCTCAGTGGCGGAGAGGCTGGAGGTCAGGACGAGGCCATCACTGGGCCAGGCTGCGGTGCCAGGCACAGTCAGCCCCTGGCCCTCAGACAGCCTCGGTCCACGCACCCATGGGCGGGTTTGAACCTGGGACTCAGGAAGGGGCACAGGAGGGGCCGGCCGTCAGAGGGGGCAGTGAGTCAGGGACGGCAGCTGGGCCCCAGGAGCAGCCCCCGGGCCCCGAGGGGTCAGGCTGGGCTCCGTGTCTAACGGAGACGGGGGTGCCCAGCCCAGAAGCAGGAACCCTCAGGCCGGGACCGGCCAGCACAGGCCCAGGCACGCAGCTCTGTCCCCCTTCCTCCCCCTCCACTGCCTCTATCGGGTCCTGCTCGTCAGGACAAACCGAAGGCCCTCCCTCGGGGGGACACCTCCGTGTCACCTGTGTTCCCTGAGCGGCCCAAGGCAGCCAGCTTTCCACCATGCCCCCAGCCAGTGCTCCTCACCCGGGGAGCACCCACACCCGGGGGAGTACCCTCACCCAGGGAGCACCCACACCCGGGGGAGCACCCACACCCGGGGGAGCACCCTCACCCGGGGGAGCACCCTCACCCAGGGAGCACCCACACCCGGGGGGAGCACTCACACCCAGAGGAGCACCCACACCGGGGGAGCACTCACACCTGGGGGAAGCACTCACACTTGGGGGAGCACCCTCACCCGGGGGAGCACCCACACCCGGGGGAGCACCCACACCTGAGGGGAGCACTCACACCTGGGGGGAGCACTCACAGCCGGGGAGCACCCACACCTGAGGGGAGCACTCACACCTGGGGGGAGCACTCACAGCCGGGGAGCACCCACACCTGGGGGAGCACCCTCACACCCGGGGGAGCACTCACACCCAGAGGAGCACCCACACTCGGGGGAGCTCCCACATCTGAGGGGAGCACTCACACCTGGGGGAAGCACTCACACCCGGGGAGCACCCACACTGGGGGAGCACCCACACCTGAGGGGAGCACTCACACCTGGGGGGAGCACTCACAGCCGGGGAGCACCCACACCTGGGGGAGCACCCTCACACCTGGGGGAGCACTCACACCCAGAGGAGCACCCACACGGGGGAGCTCCCACACCTGAGGGACTCCATCTCTGACACGCTGAGGCCCAAGACGCAGGGACGTGCGGGCAGGAGCTGGGGTGTGAGTGAGGCCCGGGCTCAGGGGGACAGTGGAAGCCACAGGAGGACCAGGGTGGGTGAGAGGGCAGAGACGCTCGGAGGCAGGGCCGGGCCCAGGCCTGCAGCCTCCATCCCGGCCGCTCGGCAGCGGCTGCGGTGTCGCCGGGCCGGCTAATTGCTGCCGTGGCTGTGATCTCGGCGAAGGCTGGCCCACGGAGCTCAGCGTGGCACGGCCTGCTTCCCAGGATGAAACGCAGGCGCGCTCTCCGCTTCCTGCGAGCGGTGGCGGCCGGGAGGCAGCAATTAGGCATCAAAGGCGGCTCCGGGCGGGACCGGCCGCCGGACTCACTCAGCCGAGTCTCACGTCCCCTGGCGCCGGCCTCGGCCGTGTCCCTGCTCACCCCGCCTCAGAGGCAGCGCAGCCACAGTCCTGCCCGGCCGCTCCTCACCCGCTTCCACCTGCACCCAAGACGGGGGAGGCAGGCCGAGGTCCGATTCCCGGACGAGCCTCAACAGAGGCGTAATGACCGTGCCCAGGCGGGAGGGGACCTGCTGGGAGCCCCTCGCAGACCCCGGGGGCCAGGGCCGGGGGCCCCACCCTGGCGGGTTCTGACCGCCCTCCCCAGGCCCCCCAGGTCCCCCTGCGCAGGGAGTGGGCTGGGGGCAGGACCAGGGCGAGGTGCCCAGCCTGGGCCTCCTGCTCCTTCCTGCGATACCGGAGCCACGGGCCACGGGGCCACGGGGCCACGGGGCTGAGGCTGAGAGGAGCCGAGACCCCAGGAGCGGCGGGCAATGCTCCCCTCCCCATGGCTCTCTTCACCCCCCAGGGTAGGAGCCGGCCTCCCTGTCAGACGCCACCCCACCCCCACCCCAACTCCAGGGCCAGGAAAATGCCGGGACCCCAGTCCGGCGCCTCCGGGTCCGCAGTGAGTGGGGATGCCGGTCCACTGCACGCGTGGGGCGGGAGGGCTGGCCTGGAGCCAGATGCCCCCGCAATCCCCACCCCCTCTGCCTCCTCCCCCCTCTGCCTCCGCCCCTCCTCCTCCCTCTCCCCCGGGGCAGCCTGTGTGAGCGCCGCTCTGCTCCCAGCTGAGGCCGCCTCTGTCCAGTCATACAGTGGGTGACGTTACTCAGAGATATTCACAAAGATACAGTTCTAACCCAGAGAGAATAAAATCCACGGGGGAGGGGGAACAGGATCAAACAATTATGCATAACCAAGTACAATGCGGGTGTTATATAACATAAGCTATACCACACCATGAACATACATGGATGGGTGGATGGATGGATACGTAGATAACAGACAGACGATTATCGGCCGGCCTCCCGGGCACTGGGCAGGAGGAGGAGCACTGGGCCCGGAGCCCCTCAGACCCTCGCACCCTCTCCTCCCTGACCCTGCAGCAGCCGCTGGCCTGCGATGCCCTCCCTGTGCCCCACGCCATGGGCACACACCATCACTTGAGCTCGAGTCTGCCTGCTTGTCGGAGTGGGGCCACAGAGCCCTCGGAGGAGCTGTTTTGAAAGTGAAATGAAGCTCCAAACAATTGTATTAATCACACCACGGCCTCCACCACGGCCACGGCCTCGACCACGGCCACGGCCTCCACCGCGGCCACGGCCTCCACCACGGCCTCCACCACGGCCACGGCCTCCACCACGGCCACGGCCTCCACCGCGGCCACGGCCTCCATCACAGCCACGGCCTCCACCCCGGCCGCGGCCTCCACCACGGCCACGGCCTCCATCACGGCCACGGCCTCCACCGCGGCCACGGCCCCCATCACGGCCACGGCCTCGGCCACGGCCTCCACCACGGCCTCCATCACAGCCACGGCCTCCACCCCGGCCGCGGCCTCCACCACGGCCACGGCCCACATCACGGCCACGGCCTCCACCACGGCCTCCATCACAGCCACGGCCTCCACCACGGCCTCCATCACAGCCACGGCCTCCACCACAGCCTCCATCACAGCCACGGCCTCCACCCCGGCCGCGGCCTCCACCGCGGCCACGGCCCACATCACGGCCACGGCCTCCATCACGGCCACGGCCTCCACCGCGGCCACGGCCTCCACCGCGGCCACGGCCTCCACCACGGCCACGGCCTCCACCACGGCCACGGCCTCCATCACGGCCACGGCCTCCATCACGGCCACGGCCTCCACTGCGGCCACGACCTCCACCGCGGCCACGGCCTGCAGAGTCCTTAACCCTGCACCGGCGTCACTGCGGCGGGGGCGGGGGAGGGGGGCGTGGAGCTCAGCGCCCGCTCCCGGGAAGACAAACAGTTAAAGCAGAGACGCTCCAGGAACGTCTCCCCTCGAGCGCGTCTCCGGGCCAGATGGCGGATCCTGACAGCAGCCCTCGCAGCCCTCCGCCCCCAGCGCCTCGAGGTTCGTCTTCGCGCTGCATTATTTCTCGATCGGGAAGGTTATTTTTAGTGCGCGGTGGTGATCGGGTTCCAGACACGGGGGATGGGCGGCCGCAGCCCCGGCTCCCCCTCGCTCCCGGCAGCCCGGGACGCCGAAGCGGCACAGCGGCACCTCCCGTCCCGCCAGCCAGAGTCCGGCCTCCACGGCCGCACGGGGCCGGGCTGCTGAGCTGGCGGCCCAGAGCGGACTCGCCCATCATCTCAGCAAGTTCCCAGGGACACAGCTGGGGTGGACACCCCCCGCAGCCGGGGACCCCAGGCCTCCCCGGCTTCGAGCCAGCCCTGGCCCTTGGTCCAGCTGTGGGTCCTCTGGGAGCCAGGAGGGCGTCGGAGGCTGGACGGCTCCCGTGGGGCGTTCCCCGGCTCTGCTGACCCGCCCCCGCCGGCCCCGGGGACTGCGGCCGCCCTGGCAGAGAGCCAGCCTCACTCTGGGACGAGTGCCCAGGACGGCAGGACACGTCAGACAGACTCAACCAGTACCTCTGCCCCGTTAAGGGGGCTGGGGTGTGTGTCTTAAACCCCAGAGAGGCCGTAAGGGACGTTGTTCGGCACCACCGGGCAAAGGGGACATTTTGGTGAGCCCCCTCCATCTCAGATCAAATCAACTGGGTTAGACCGTCATCACAGACCCGTGGTCGGCAAATTGCGGCTCGTGAGCCACATGCGGCTCTTTGGCCCCTGAGTGTGGCTCTTCCACAAAACACCACGGCCTGGGCGAGTCTATTCTGAAGAAGTGGCGTTAGAAGAAGTTTGTTTAGAAAATGTGGCTCTCCAAAGGAATTTCAGTCGTTGTCCTGTTGATGCTTGGTCTGCTGGCTGATGAGTTTGCTGGCCACAGAGGTAGACCAGCAGCTCCTGTCTGCTACCCGGAACCCCCGGGGCTGCGAGTTCCCGGCTCGTACCAGCGGCGCCAAAGGAGCCCCGGGCGTGGCCCCACTCGAGTGCGGCGAGGGGCCGGCGTGGGGTGCTTGGCTCCGCTCCCCATTCACAGGGGAGACGGCGAGGGTCCTTCCGAGGGGTCAGCCCATGAGAAGAGCTGGCGGACTCAGGGAGGAGAGGCCGGCAGACCACAGCCGGGCCGTCCCGGCCGGCACTGAGCCGGAGCAGGCGCCACCCGGAAGCCAGCCTTCGAGACCCAAGAGCGTGGCATGCCCAAGGCTCCGGGAGACCCGCCCCTGCCCCTGAGCAAGCACCGCCGCGGGCGGGGCGCCCGGCTGGAGGGAACTCAGTCACCCTTCCGGGACCCGCAGGCTGTCCCAGCGCCTCCTGAGCCCCTGCAAAGCCTGGGCCCTGCCCGGCCGGTGGGCTGTGGGGCTGAGCACTGACCTGTGAACCAGGAGGCCACAGTTCGACTCCCCATCAGGTGCAGGCCTGGGTTGCAGGCTGGATCCCAGTGGGGAGCATGCAGGAGGCAGCTGATCCATGATTCCCTCTCATCATGGATGTTTCTTTCTCTCTCCCTCTCCCTTCCTCTCTAAAATCAATAAAAAATATATTAAAAATAATAATAATAAAGCAAAGTGTGAGCCCTGTACTCAGCGCCCTGCACACACATCTCGGTCAGTCACCACGGTCACCCTGGAGGAGGACCTTGTATCAGTTACCTACAGCTGCGTAACGACGGAGCCCAAACGTGCATCCACTGCACACTGCACCACCCGAGCCCCCGGCCAGGACTCCGGGGGACGGGCTGGGCCTCGGCTCCGGGTTCCCCGGAGGTTCCCCCCGGGCCTGTTGGCAGGACCTGGCCGTCGGCTGGAGGCTGCTGTTCCGGCCCCCGGGCCCCGCAGAGCATCCCCCACGACGCCTGGCTTCCCTGCAGCCGGCCGGGGAGAGGGTGTGAGCGAGCGAGCCGAGCTCTTCACACCACGGAACGTCCTAGCCCGTCCTCACTCAGGACGAGAGGACCACGCAGGGGCGTGGGTAGCAGGGGGGGTCTTGGGTTCACGCCGGAGAGGGCCACCATCCACACGGTCTGTGCTCACCGGAGCGGAGGCCCGGTGAGGCCAGGTGGCCGGCGGTGGTCCCTCCTCAGCCCGGGTATCGGGGCCGCCCAGCTGGCGGCCAGATCTGCCACTCCTGAAACACAGATCCCGGCTTAAAATGAGATGTGACATTTCCCCGCGCAGACGGGGCCTGGCAAAGTGGAAAAGATTTCATAAATATGCAAATCTCGCGTCCTGCCTGCCTCCAGCCCACCCCTCCGCGGTAAGAGGATCAGCACAGGCTTGGTAATGAAGTTAGAGGCGCAGGCACATAATCCCCAGCGAGCGAGCGAGCGGGTGGCCGCCCCTCCCCCGCAGCCCTCCGGGGCGGGCGGGCGGCGGGCAGGGCGGCGGCTGGGAGCGGGAGCTCTGGGCCCTTGGCGTCTGCCCACGGTGCCCACGGTGCCCAGGTGGACACGCCGCAGCCCTGAGCCCCCGGCAGGGGCGAGGGCTCAGGAGCCTCTGACTCCGTTTCCTCGTCCTGTGGGCAGGTCCTCACCCTCCCCTGCACAATGGTCTGGAGGGCTAAGTGAGACGATACAGCCCAGGCCTGGCCTCGGGGCATCAGCAGGTGCCCCGCTGACAGCCGCTCAGCCGGAGGAGCTGCTGGGATGGGAACTGAGGACAGGGCCCAGCACCCCTGCCCCCGGCCAGCCAGAGCCCTGGCTTCTCATTGGCTCTCATGGGGTCAGGTGCCCATTTCTCAGCCAATCCCTGCAGCCACGGGAATGTGCTCCCTCGATTGGCTGAGGTCTGGGCCCCGTCCCCACAGCAGTGGCTGAGGCTGGTGGGCGCTCAGGAGGGGTGTCCTGCACTGACCGGAGCCCCGAGGAGCACTGCACCCCATGGTCCCCGCAATGGTCTCCCCGGGCCCCGCCCCCCAGCTGTCTTCGGTGTGGCCCGTGGGTGCTCAGGGGTGACGGGAGGGCCGCCTGGCGCCTCTGGTGCGTGGGCAGAGGGCAGAGGGGGAGGGATCCAGAGCGGAGAGGGCGCGGGCCGGTCACCCACACGCCAGGACCAGAGCCGGGCCGGACGCTCTCCACGGCCGTGAGCCGGGAACGGGCCTGCCCACCGGGATGCAGCCGCCCGTCCGCCCGCAGTGGGGGCTCTGCTCCCGGCGCCCCTTTCCATGAGGCTCGGGCGGCGGGCGGGCCGTGGGAGGCACACGTGTGAGTCATTCCCGGAGGAAAGGCAGAGCCGGCTCTGGGCTCCGGCTGGAGGAGGAGGCAGCGAGGAGGGAGGAAGCAGGGGAGGGAGGAGGGAGGCAGGAGGGAGGTCACTCAACTCCAGCGATTTTACGTCCGAGTCGCCCGCGCTGGCCGCCCAGAGGCCCGGAGAGGACAGCGGCTGCTTCAAGGTCACTCCGCCGACCCCGGCCGGCTGCCGGTTTGGGCGTGTGGCCCGCGCTCGCCTTTGCCCGGGAGCCAGTGAGGACCCTGGGCTTCTCTCCCAGGGTTCGCTCCCTGCCCCCCGGCCTGCCCACCCCCTCCCATCATCCCTGCCATCACCCTCCCACCTCCCTCCCCATCATCCCTGCCATCACCCTCCCACCCCCCTCCCCGTCCCCCTCCCATCTCCCTCCCCCCCTCCCAGCCCCTCCCCATCACCCCTGCCATCACCCCTGCCACGCCGTGCCTCTCAGAGGAAGTGGGAGGGACCCTCTCCACATCTCCCCCACCACACACACACACACACACACACACACACACTGTCTCCTGGTGAACCCCGAGAGACACGATGAACTTCCGGGGCTCCAGGGGAGGCCAGAGACTCCTCTCTGTTGGGGCGTCCGCTCCCCCAGAGGCCTCTCCTCTGAACAGCGAAGCTGGGATTGGCCAGGGGCCAGCTCTCCGTCGGGGCTTTGAGGCCTCCTGGGGTGCAGCCCCCAGGCACTCCGGGCCCGCCGATGTGGCCTAGCCCCTCAGCCTCGCTCACACCCAGGAGCCCGGGAGCCATCCTGCCCCCCATCCCCGGCCCCACCTGGGCCTCCTCAGCCTCTGCCCCAGCAGCTTCCTCCATCCGGGCAGAAGCCCCGCCCGAGTGCCTGTTCACTCAGCGGCCCACTCACCCAGCCTCCCCCTCACCCAGCCTCCCCCTCACCCAGCCTCCCACTCACCCAGCCTCCCCCTCACCCAGCCTCCCACTCACCCAGACTCTCACTCACCCAGCCTCCCCCTCACCCAACCTCCCCCTCACCCAGCCTCCCCCTCACCCAGCCTCCCCCTCACCCAGCCTCCCACTCACCCAGCCTCCCCCTCACCCAGCCTCCCCCTCACCCAGCGGCCCCCTTACCCAGGGCCCACTCACCCAGCCTCCCCCTCACCCAGCGGCCCCCTCACCCAGGGCCCACTCACCCAGCCTCCCCCTCACCCAGCGGCCCCCTTACCCAGGGCCCACTCACCCAGCCTCCCCCTCACCCAGCGGCCCCCTTACCCAGGGCCCACTCACCCAGCCTCCCCCTCACCCAGCGGCCCCCTTACCCAGGGCCCACTCACTCAGTCCGCAGCTGGTAGCGAGCGCCCGGGCCCTGCCCAGGGCTGTGGTCTGGGGCCAGAGTGGCGCCGGCAGGGGCTAAGCCCTGCCCTGCCAGAGCCCGCCTGATGGGGAGGGTCATGCAGGCTTGTGGCCATGGGCTCTGCAGGTCCCGGGAGGCGAATGGGCCTGCTCTGTTTCCAAAGAGAACCTTAGGTAAAGGGACTGAGGGCAGAGTGGAAGGGGGCCCTGGCGCGGGGTGCAGAGTCCCTGGTGAGGGCCATGGCCCCCGGGAGGGAGGCAGCCGGGATGCAGAGGAGAGCGCACGGCAGGGCAGCAGAGATGGCGGGAGGTGCGGGGAGCCCCCTGGCCAGTGCCCTGCACCCCGTCTCCTCCTCGAAGGCTGTCCCCGGACCGAGGACTGAGCAGGAGCGCGGACTCGGAACCACCCGGAGGGCTGGTGCGTATGACGTGGACATCAGGCCGGTCTGCGGGCCGGTGTCAGAGGGAGCGCTGTGACCTTCGTGGTGTCCCCGCTGCAGACTCACACGGCCACGGCCGGAGCCAGGCGCCGGCTCCTGCCGCCCAGGTGGCTTCCCAAGGTCAAGCCTGAGCGGGAGGCGGAGCTGAGCCAGGCTGGCTCCCTCCGGGCCACCGCACCTGCTGCCAGGCCGCCTGCCCGTGGCCCGCAGAGGCAGCGGTGGGGGCGGGACCCAGGCCTGCGCCCCCAGCCCACCTGCCTCTGCAGCGGGCAATTGGGCCCCGGAGCACAAAACGGCCTCGGGGGCGGGAAGTGGAAATTCCCTCATCCGTCCGGCCCAGCCCGCCTTCTCCTCTCACACCCCGGCAGGAAAGGCTCCTCTGCAGGCTTCCGATGCAGATGTGTGCGGACGCGGGCGGCGACATCTCAGGCTGAGCATCCTCTATTGATTGGGAAGCACCGCAGCCCCAGCCAGAGTGCACAGCCGGGCACAGGGAGCCAGCCGCGGGCCCTCAGCGCCCCCTGGGAGCGGGAGCCGGCACTGCATCGCGGGGACTGCAGCAGGGCTGTGAGCACTGGGCGGGGTGGGGGTAGGGGACTCCGAGGGGAGTGGTGACACACAGCCCAGGTGGCTTTGGACAAATGGCTTCCTGTGAAGTTGGGGGTCACTTGCCTGCACCCTGAGGCCTGTCCAGTGGCTGCATGACTGTGGAAGCCAGGAGCCCTCTGCGTGCTGGGCTGACAGCGCTCAGGGCGCCGGCCTGGAGGAGGTGGCCCGGGGTCCGGCTGTGACTGCCGAGCTCGGCCGCCTCCCAGCGGGTCCGAACGCACCGCAGCCTTGGCCCTGCCCCGGGTTTGACAGGCAAACCGGACGACACAGGACCCAGGGCCCGGGGCGCCTGAGCGCCGGCACCGAGGACAGGGGCGTTCCTGGCAGGAGCAGGCCCGCCCCTCCCTGGGCATCGGGTCTGAGCAGCAGGACCAGCTCTGGACAAGCCTCGGGGCTCAGTCACCGGGCCCTGCCTGCCCGAGCACCCTGCCCCGAGCCCAGTGGGCCCAGTCAGAGGAGCCTGACCCAGGGCCCCCCTCCCAGGCTTGTGAGCACAGCGTCTGGGGCAGGGGGTGGGAGGAGGCTGGGGGCTGGGGAGCTGAGGGGCTGAGGGTTGGGGGGCTGGGGGCTGGGGGACTGAGGGGCTGGGGAGCTGAGGGGCTGGAGAGCTGAGGGGCTGGGGGCTGGGGGCTGGAGGACTGAGGGGCTGGGGGACTGGGGGGCTGAGAGGCTGGGGGCTGGGGGGCTGGGGACTGGGGAGCTGAGGGGCTGGGGGGCTGGGGGGCTGGGGACTGGGGAGCTGAGGGGCTGAGGGTTGGGGGGCTGGGGGGCTGAGAGGCTGGGGGCTGGGGGGCTGGGGACTGGGGAGCTGAGGGGCTGGGGGCTGGGGGCTGGGGGGCTGGGGACTGGGGAGCTGAGGGGCTGGGGGGCTGGGGACTGGGGAGCTGAGGGGCTGGGGGGCTGGGGGGCTGAGAGGCTGGGGGCTGGGGGCTGGGGGCTGGGGGTTGGGGACTGGGGAGCTGAGGGGGCTGGGGGCTGGGGGCTGGGGGCTGGGGGGCTGGGGACTGGGGAGCTGGGGGGCTGGGGACTGGGGAGCTGAGGGGCTGGGGGCTGGGGGCTGGGGGGCTGGGGACTGGGGAGCTGAGGGGCTGGGGACTGGGGAGCTGAGGGGCTGGGGACTGGAGAGCTGAGAGGCTGGGGGCTGGGGGCTGGGGGGCTGGGGGGCTGGGGGGCTGGGGGGCTGGGGCCTGGAGAGCTGGTGATTGTGGGGCTGGGGGCTGGGGAGCTGAGGGGCTGGGGACTGGAGAGCTGAGAGGCTGGGGGCTGGGGGCTGGGGGCTGGGGAGCTGAGGGGCTGGGGGGCTGGGGGGCTGGGGGGCTGGGGCCTGGAGAGCTGGTGATTGTGGGGCTGGGGGCTGGGGAGCTGAGGGGCTGGGGGGCTGGGGCCTGGAGAGCTGGTGGTTGTGGGGCTGGGGGCTGGGAGGCGGCATGAGCTGGGCTCAGCGGGCAGGCGGGGAGGAGCACACAGATACTGCCGTTGCGGGGCTGTGCCTCCCGGAGGAAGGACAGGCAGAGGAAACCTCCAGGCCGAGCTCGGGCAGCGCGCTCTGGAGCAGACGGACCGGCCCGCAGGCCCCGCACATCTGGAAGGAGCAGCTGGGTCCCCCGGGCCCCGAGACAGTGATCTGAGAGGAGTGGGCCCGGGGGCCTGGGGAGCAGCCCTACCCTCGGTCTGAGGAGGCACATAGTCCCAACCGAGTTCCCCCGGAGACAGCTGCCTGGGCTCACACCCACACCTGCACACACCCACACCTGCACACACTCACACCTGCACACTCACATCTACATATTCACACCTGCACACACACTCACACCTATGCTCACACTCACACCTGTGCCCACACTCACACCTGTGCTCACACTCACACCTGCACTCACTCACACCTACACACTCACACCTGCACACACACGCACACCTACACACCCACACCTGCACACACTCACACCTATGCTCACACTCACACCTGTGCTCACACTCACACCTGCACACACACTCACACCTGCACTCACTCACACCTACACACTCACACCTGCACACACACGCACACCTACACACACCCACACCTACACACACTCACACCTGCACACACACTCACACCTACACACACTCACACCTGCACACACACTCACACCTACACACACTCACACCTGCACACACACCCACACCTACACACACACCTGCACACACACTCACACCTGCACACACTCACACCTGCACACACTCACACTTGCACACACACTCACACCTACACACTCACACCTGCACACACACGCACACCTACACACACCCACACCTGCACACATACTCACACCTACACACACCCACACCTGCATGCTGTTGAGACGTGATGTTGAGAACTCTGGCCTGGCCTCCTGGTTATGGCGAAATGTCAAAGGTCAGATGTCAGATGTGCTGGAGCCCTGGATCCAGCCTGTCCAGTCACCCCAGAAGGGGAGGGTGCAGTTTCAGGGTGAGGACCACCCACCTGCACTTTCACACACACACACACACACACACACACACACACCACCCCTACTCGGGCTGGACCCATTCCGACTGTGACTCGGGGCCACGCCAGCGGCTCCCACATCGCAGGCACCTCCCGCCGCCAGAGTCAGTCCCTTTGTGAGCTGACCTCCCAGGAGCTGGAGGGGAGGCCCCCATCTCCTGTCCCACGGGGGCCCTGCTGTGGGGCCTGCAGTCCACAGTACCGGGTGCCCTTTTGACATTGGGACCCCGAATGATGAGGGGGTCCTCCCACTGATGACAGACCCTGGCGAGCTATTTGGGGACCCTGTTCCCTGGAGGCTGGGAGACATCGGAGGGCAGCGAGGGAGAAGTCACCATGGCAACGCCTTAGAGAAAGGAGGGCTGTCCTCTCGGCTCCATCCAATTAAGGGGCTATTTTCGGGTCCCTACTATGCGCCGGGCCTGGGCTCAGCTGCTCAGGACGGGTCGGGGGTGGGAAAGCTTTTTCCACCTGACGGTCTCTGGGTCTGCAGAAGCACACGTGCCTCGTGCTGGTGCACAGTAGGCCTGGCTGAGCCCTGCACACAGTGGGTGCTCCAGGCCGCTGCTGAACTGAAGGAAACCCACCCGCAGAGCACCTCGCCCCTCCCCGCCCGGCACGCCCTCCCCCGCGGTGAGGGTCAGACGGACCCCCCCCCCCCCCGGCCCGCACGCCCTCTCCCGCGGTGAGGGTCAGACGGACACCCTCCCCGCCCGGCACGCCCTCCCCCGCGGTGAGGGTCAGACGGACCCCCTCTCGGCCCCACACGCCCTCCCCCGCGGTGAGGGTCAGACGGACCCCCTCCCGGCCCCCCCCGCCCTCCCCCGCGGTGCGGGTCAGACGGACCCCCTCCCGGCCCCACACGCCCTCCCCCGCGGTGAGGGTCAGACGGACCCCCTCCCGGCCCCACACGCCCTCCCCCGCGGTGAGGGTCAGACGGACCCCCTCCCGGCCCCACACGCCCTCTTCCACGGTGAGGGTCAGACGGACCCCTCCCCGCCCGGGGCAGACCCTGGAAAGCGGGAGGGAGGAGGCTGTGCCAAGGGGAGTGCAGCCCCCTTTGAGACCATCGCCGCTGGCACAGGAGCCAGCCCCTCTGCATGGCCCGCACCCCAAGGGTGAGGCGCCTGTGCTCCGTGGGGACCTGCGCCCGAGGACGGGGTGGTGGAGAGGGGGAGGCGGGGGCGGTGACCGGCCTCGGGCCCTGCCCCAGGCGGGGTCCCTGCTACATGGGAGGGGGTCTGCTGCGTGTCCCCTGCACAGGCCTGAGCCCCCGGGCCGCTGAGGGGGCTGAGCAGTGGAGGAGGCATGTGTCACGGAGAGAGGAGCTGTGCCCTGGGCCCCTGGGCGCCACCTAGGCCTCCACGGCTGAGACGGGCTGAGCCCCGGGGAAGAGGGGGAAGCCTGCTCTGTGATGGACGGGCAGCCTCAGGGGCCACACAGGCACGGATGTGGGCTCCTCTCGGCGAAGGAAGGGCCTGTGTGGATGCTCCGCGGCGCCTCTGGGAGGGCCCTTCTGGCCCTTCTGGCCCTTCTGGCTCCCTGAACGGCGAGGGCTATGGTTGGCGGGGCAGCCGGACGGGGCAGCAATCTGCCCGGTAACGAGGGCGCAATGCGTTCGCTCAGCGAGGCGGTTCGATGCTGCCTGTGAGACCAGGTCTCCCTGAGGCCCCTCCAGCTGCCCCTCTAGGGGGCCCACTCCCTCCGTCTGAGGCCCTGTGAGCTGGGGCTCACGAGTGTCGGGGGACCTGGTTCTGATCCCCCCCCCCATGGACCGGCCGGAATCCGACCGGAGGCCAGAGGAGCGAAGCCAATGGTGGCAAGGCCTGTGCCCGCACGTGAGCCCAGCTTCCGGCTGCTCCTGCGGGGCAGGGAGCTGCCGTCCGGATGGCGAAGCATATGCCACGGGCTCCCCAGGGCTGCGCGAGGCCGGTGACATTTCGGGGAGGCGGAGGGAGGGAGGCAGGGGCATCGGGGACACAATCAGCCTCATTAACATTCTGATTGCAGCCCGGCTCCCAGCTCCTCCGCCTGGACACAGGCGCACACGTTCCATCGGGAGGAAGCCGGCCCCCGGGGGAGGCGCCCTGCAATAACGCCGAAATAACGGCGGGGGCAACACCCCCTGTGGGGACAACACCCCCTGTGAGGACAACACCCCCCTGTGAGGACAACACCCCCCTGTGGGGACAACAACCCCTGTGGGGACAACACCCCTCTGGGGGAACAACACCCCCCTGTGGGGACAACACCCCTCTGGGGGAACAACACCCCTCTGGGGGGGACAACACCCCTCTGGGGGGACAACACCCCTCTGGGGGGACAGCACCCCTCTGGGGGGACAACACCCCTCTGGGGGGACAACACCCCCTGTGAGGACAACACCCCCCTATGGGGGACAACACCCCCCTGTGGGGGACAACACCCCTCTGTGAGGGACAACACCTCTCTGGGGGGACAACACCCCCCTGTGAGGGACAACACCCCTCTGGGGGGACAGCACCCCTCTGGGGGGACAACACCTCTCTGGGGGGACAACACCCCTCTGTGGGGACAACACCCCCTGTGGGGGACAGCACCCCTCTGGGGGGACAACACCCCTCTGGGGGGACTGCCATTGGCTCCTAGTGTGGGTAATGAGTGGACAGCCTACAGGGGAAACGTGTCAAACCTCTCTGTGCCTCAGTTTCCTCTCCCATGAAAGGTGGCATTTAATAATGCCTACTTCCTGCTCTGAGAATCAAGTGAGTTAGTGTATCAGCATCCACATCACCATCATCACCACCATCATCATCACCCTCATCACCAATATCATCACCACCATCACTACCATCATAACCACCATTATTATCACCATAACAACCATCATTACCAATTTCATCACCACCATCATCATCATCACCATCATCATGATGACCAACATCATCACTATCATCATAACCACCATCATTATCACCATAACAACCATCATCACCATCATCCTCATCACCAATATCATCACAACCATGAGCCATCATCACTATCATCCTAACCACTATAATTATCACCACAACAACCACCATCACCCCATCCGCATCCGCATCCCCAGCCCCATCCGCATCCCATCCCCATCCGCATCCCCACCATTTCCCCATGGGACTCTCGCTTCTTGCAGGCCGAGGACAGACACGAGTGGTCACTGTCTCCCTGGGCCCACCGCCTGGCACAGAGCAGATGCTCCGGACGTCTAACCAGATGCTGACGTGGACGGGACGATGTGCCAACGAAGGGGCCGGCCTGTGGGCGCTCTGCAGGCATGATGGGTGCGTGGACGAGGGGGAGGGGGAGTGAGCCCGAGCACGTGCGAGCGAGGGAGTGCCGCAGGGGGAGCAGACGGGCGGCCGAGGAGATTCCTCTCGCTCCAGCCTCCGAGGTGCCAGCGGTGCCAGCAGCCCCCCGCGTCTCCGGAGACACGGCATCCATCCCTGCGGCTGCCAGGAGCCCGGGCGGTAACCCGGAGCCATTAGAGGCAGGACCTCCCTCCGGGTGCCTGTCCAGCTTCCTCCTCCGCGGGGGACACGGCTGAGGCTCTGGTCAGTGAGGAGAGCGTGTCCTCTGCCGGCCTCGCGCCGGCCTGGGGAGGCCCCGGGCAGAGCCCGAGGCGGACGGGGGAAGGATGTGAGCCCAGCCAGCCTGGACCCTGGCCTCGCACACAGTAGGTGCTCAGGGAGGCCGGGGGGGGGGGGGGGGGAGCGGGGAGGACAGGCGGCTCCGGAACTGCCTGGCAGCCGGCTGGGTCCCGCTGGCTCCGGCCGGCCTGAGTCACAGCGAGCGCGGCGGCCGTGGGCGTGGGCCGTGGGCCGGAGGCTCCTGCCAAGCTGGCACCGCGCTGTCCTCGCCGCCCGCACAGCCGCGGCGGCTTTGGAAAATGT